CCCCCCTCTCCCCATCACGTCCCTGACACATGCCCCGCTCGCGAGAGTGAGGTGAATAATTGACGACACAGGGTACGGAATCTCTTAGAGCCTAGCTCAGCCACATGATTGCACGTGACAAATCCCGCGAGATCTCAGGGCGCTGGACCAAACTATCATCAGCTGGGGCGGGGTGGGGGTGAGAGAGAGAGAGAGAGAGGGGAGAGAGAGCGAGAGAGTGTGAGAGAGAGTGGGAGAGAGAGAGAGAGAGAGAGAGAGAGAGAGAGAGAAAGAGAGAGAGAGAGAGAGAGAGAGAGAGAGAGAGAGAGCTAACATATAAAAAGCCTATTTTTTCCTACTGCCTAGCATATATACCTTTACCCGACTTGGCCAGCTTCAACAAACAAACTTGGCTGCCTTCAGAAGCTGACTGACCGCCATCCTGCTCTATTCCTTTAGTAGAGACTTTCGGTTGAGTAAAGAGAAGCATATTGACACAATAATGGTCACTACGCACATGTGAAAAGTAATATAAACAGAAATAAACAAGAGCGGGGGCGGGAGGGGGGGGGGCGAGTAGGACCTACCGAGGTGCCCTCCAATCGCCCGCCCTATAAACACGCAGAAATACAATGTATGTATTTAAACACAACTGCAAAATGCAGAGTTAAGGCGAAATGCTTGGAACTATTCTAGCATAGTACATGTATTGTGTTAATCATTTCAAATCTAAAAGCAAAACCTCGTTCTAATGTCGGTTGTAGGTCCAGTACCTCTTATCAATCCCGAGCCATCAGCTTAGTTAGAAAAGTGCTGGACTTCAGAGGGGGTGATCTGTTCTACAAGATGTAGTCTTGAATGTGAGTTAGTTGTTTTGTGACTAATTGTTACTGAATGCATTCTCTTGCAGCACTGCTATAGGAAATATGTCACCTCCTCCTCCATTTTCCTCTTGAAAACGGATCACGGTGAATGTTAGGTAACTTTCAATTACTGTTTACGTCCAAATCGGCACAATTCAGATCTTTTCGGGGGAAGGCTGCATCCACCCTTGTTGTCTGGACTAATCGTGTTATGTAAGATATTTCCCAGCAGAGAGACGATGGTACTTAAAGAAATAATGCTCCTACTTGAGAACCGACCTCACGTCTTTTCTCACACAATTGACCTGAATAGATTCTAACCAAGTAGGAACGGGTGCCAAAACTAACATCATTCCCACACCACGCTCTTCAGGCCTCACCACATACTTTAACCCTACGGTTATCTTTTTTGTATTACTGTTCATATATTTTAAAGTCAAACTGTTGCTTCACCCCCACTTCAACGCTCTTCGTTGACCACTAGCAATTGCAAACCGATACACAGACACGCGCACGAAGTGTATGAAGTTCAATGCACACACACACACACACACACACACACACACACACACACACACACACACACAAGGAGGGGGGGACAACTGTCTATATGCATTTAGAGTACACTCTTAGAACAGTTATGCCCCTTTAGCCATAACTTTTCAGCCTTAACGTCTGCACCACCGCGATTTCATCTCTCGTCGATTTCGCACAAGTTTTATATAACTATTTGTAAGGCCTTGTTGTTTTGAACCTTAGCTCAATTGCCCTCCCCTCCACCCATTTCTGTTATTAATTTGGTTTCTTGAGTTACTGTCGACGGATCAAGGCTGTTTGTAAATGTCCCCGAGGGCTATCTGGAGAAATTTACAGGGGAAAAGTGCATCATCCTTCCGTTTTCAAAACCTCATTCTACAATTATATACTTGATCATACTAATCTAATTATGTTATGACCTCTTGCCTGCATACATCTCACCTTTACATTATCTCAGACCGTGTATTTTCAAGTATTCTGTCTTTTTTCCCCCAGAACACGTGACGAAATCCAGAAAGTAGTGTCCTCCTTCTCCCTCCTCATTAACTACGCTTCCTCCCTCCCCGCCATCTTGACCTGCCTCCCTTACGGCACTCTCTCGGATCATGTTGGGCGCAAGAAAATGATGTTCATCCCTCTGATAGGAGGATTTGTCCGGATGTTCGTCTACCTCCTTGTGGTCAAACTGGAGCTCAGCCTCAACTATCTGTTCCTGGGAAGCGCTGCTGATGGGCTGTGTGGTTCCTATCCTGCGATGTCGATGATTTCTGCTGCTGCTGTCGCTGATATTACAATGTCCTCAGGGGGGAGAGCGCTCAGTTTTGCTGTAATAGAAGCTATTCTCATAATATCTTCAGCGGTAGCCAATCTCTCTGTTGGTTATTTTATCATGTACGAAGGGTATTTCTATCCCACGGTCATGATGTCGGGACTCGCTCTCATAGCGTTTTTGGTAGCAGCAACTGTATTTCCAGAGACAAATACGGAGAGGGCAAAAGCAAGTGCAAACCCTTTGAAACACCTGAAGAGAATCGTGAGTTTCTACACATTTGCGGGATCTGTGCGAAGGAGGGTTCTGTACAGGATTGGCTTGTTCATGTTTTTTCTCAACATAGTGGTCAGCATTGGGAGATCTCCAGTGGAAACTTTGTACCAGCTTAACAGTCCCTTCTGTTGGAACTCTGTCAAGATTGGGATATTCGGGTTAGTCACAGAAATGCTGTATACATTAAAACCATTAAAATAATATCTTAATTTTTCATTAATGTTAAGACAGTCCTGATATATCATAGTCTAAATGTCCAGATAATGAATGGAGGAGGCGGACGGTATTTTACACCTTGATCAAAATTGTTAGACTTGAGAACAAACTGAGAAAAGCAAGATGGATATAATAGAGGTATTTTCGTGACAACTACAGTAATAGTGGCTGGCGCCGTAGTCTTACCATGGCACAGGTGTGATTAAAGTAATACACTGTTGAACGCGACAGCAACTGCAACAATTCTGTCAAGGAAAGTTGCTCTCGTTCGCTTTTTGGCTGAAGAACGAAGAGATTCCACTTTGAAATGAACAATATCATGTTTGACAATAAAATCCTATTCATTTCATTTCTTCCCATTTCTAGTGCCATTCAGTCAACTGTACAGATCACCTGCAGTGTGATGGCGCTACGTATCCTGAAGTTGCGCCTCCAGCTTGAGTCTATAGGAATCCTGGCTCTCCTCTGTGCGATTGCTGGATTTGTTATAGAAGGATTTGCTATGTCAGACTGGATGTTGTATGCTGGTGAGTTGAGTGGACAGAAAACACTTTTGTATGTTTTAGTAGAGGTTTTACGACGTTCGCAACTGCATAATGTCATATGAGCGCCAAGGGGTGGATATCAACAGATAAGTCGTTACAGGGAATATCAGACTTCCTCTGCTCACCTCTCTAGCTTCAACAGCACGAAGTCTTAGTCTGCGTCGACTATCAAGGCACCCCGGAAATAACGAGTCACAAGAGTGTGACAAACATACAAAAGATGTAGAAAAAAAATGACTTTAGTAAGGATTAGGAAAGAAAAAACAGCAGTTTCCTGCTGCAGTTCGGGCACAGTTATAAGCATGCCATCGATGGATCAGCTCATTTATTTACAATTACAATTCTATTGTGCATAATAACAGGGTAATGACCTCCCTTTGGGATTGGCATTCAGACTCTTCAGTCAGTAGCACCGCCGGTTGGGGAGGGGGGGGATAGAAAAAACTTTAATAAAGAAGTAAATATATATGATATATAG